CGGTCTGGTACGTCCAATCGGGATGTACTAGCACATCGGTCAGTTCGATGACCAGGGTATAAGGGGGCTGAATGTAGGGGTACGGAAGAGGGTCTGGTAGTAAATGCTTGCGGGATGGTTCTTTGATTAACTGGAAAAAGATAAATGAAGTTGTATATATATAATATATATATATATATATATTATATATAAAAATGGAGCTCTCGAACAAATGATTCGGTAACACTCGAAAACGGCTAAACCGATTTGGCCAGTCTTAGTCTTGAACAATTCGTGCCAATTAGTAAGTTGTCGGAAAGGTGAGATAATATTTCAAAATCGCGTACAAACTTTACATTTTCAATTTGAACATTTTTGTAAAAGCGTAATTTGAATAAAACAATGGACGGTGGCTAATACGTCAAATGTCAAACGTTTTTGACAGATGGTGTTCAATTACGTTTAATAGGATGTTTTACGTGAATATTATTTAATTATAAATGAATTGTAGTAAGTAGTTTTGTTCGTAGTTATATTTATACACCAAAACGTTATTAAACGGGCCGCAAGTGTTACTAGAGACTCAAAATATCAACTTTTTTGAAATGCTAATATGAAAATGCACTTTTGGCATATTTTTCTCAAACACGGTGCTCTGAAAGATCTCATTTGTATAATTATATACTCATTGGTATTTAAAAAACATTTTCTACGTTATATTATTTTTTATTTATGTTATTTAAATTCAGAACCTAAATTTGGTATCAATCAAAGAGACATTTTGTCGAATAACATTTTCCCAGTTATAATTTCCCAGAATTTATCGAAGAATAGATAGTAATTTATGAAGGTCCGTGTTAAAAAGGTCCACCACCGATGTGTCAAAAACCAATAAAGTTAAGCATTGTTTAACAACAATATTTGAAAGTAGAGGGAAAAAGATGTATAACCAGCTGTAACCTTGATTCTCATGACTTTGCTATCAGGAGATAAATGGTAATCTTTGAAAATCCGTAACAAAAGTATTTTCTACCATTGGTAGTTTTATGGCATTAGTTAAAAATGTATTTGTTTTATTAAATACCTTTAAAATTAAAATAAGACATTAAAGGGCACAACTAGTGTAACCGCCTAAGAAAAAGGTGATTTTTGGGAATTTATATTAAAAAAAAACTACTTTATCAATTATTTCAAAATTTTAGGAATATATTTATACATATTTTAAGAATACATAGTAAAATTTTTGAAGAAAAAAATTAAATATTTTTTAAGTTATCGTCGATCTCCAACGGCGCGACAAAAAACAGGCTCTTCACTGCTGCAGTGATTCCAGCCTTCTACGTGGATGAAATTAAAAAAAAAAAAATCTCGATAAACTAGATAATATTGTCTGTAAACTGAACTACGATAAAGAAAAAAAATGAAAAATTTACAAAATGACAGCGTTTTTTTTAAAAAAGTCGAATTTTACCCAAAATTTTGGTCGTTTTTGGACTGCCAAAATTCGATTTTTGATCCGATCAAAAAACCGATAGTTCATTTTACGGAGAACTATATATAGAACATGTAAAAAAAAATTTGGTAATGATCGGATCATTTGTTTTTGAGTAATCGCTGCAGCAAATTCGGAAAATGCTGTTTCGAGAAAAACGCGTTTAAAGATTAAATGATCGTTATACTATATACTATATATATACTCTTTGAATGGCTGTAACTCAAACACTATTTAAGATATCGCTTTAAAATTTTAGTATGTTATTTTTAAAGGTATAACCAATCGAAATATGGAAAAATTGAAAATTCGATATTTTTAAAACTTCACACTAGTTGTGCTCCTTAAACCTGTTTGCCACACATGCTCTACATATATACTTTTTATTAAATTTACTATAATTCATGGAATGTAACTTGAAACTTTTCAAAAAACAGGTCGAAAAAGAAATACTTATTTCATTTTCTATCTCTCCTTGCAAAAATTTGAAAAAATTGTATAAGCTCAGTAGTATTATTTAGAATTCTACACAAAATCCAGAATTCAAAAAGAATCTGAAAAACTTGAAATGTAATCAATAAATCGAAAGACTAAAAATGACTTGGATTCCAGTTTGATTGTATTGACAAAATATAGACAAACTAATGGGGTTTATTGTTTTTATAATACCTCACTGTATATAGCATTCAAACAGTGCATCCTTATACACTTAAGGTATTCAAATTCTTTAGAAATTGTTTAGAATATACCTTACTTAGCAATAAAACGTTTGCCAGGTCAGCTAGTACACACACACACACACACACACACACACACACACACACACATATATATATATATATATATATATATATATATATATATTTACCTTTTGATAGAACATCATAGCGTTCCACAATCTATAAATATACTGCTTAGGTGCAGGCAAAGAACTAAATTCATCTTCGATGATGTTTCCATCGTCATCTTTACCCGGCATACCATATTCGATGACAAGACAACTGCCAACTATTGTCATAGAAACTCCAAACACCGCAAAACTAAAAAAATAAATCAATATACATATATATATATATATATATATATATATTATATTATTATTATTATTACCCGATTTTCATTTTCTTCCAAGCGTTTTCCTTTTCCTTCCTATTTTCCTCCTCTTCTTTTTTCCTCTCTTTTTCGAGCTCCTCAGGATCATTGGCGGCAGTTTGTGAAAACAATTGTGATAATAAAGGTATAGGTTTTTCTTCACTAGATAAATTTAGATTTGCTGTCTCAGTCGTTGCAACTTTTTCTTGAGGCTTTTCTGGAGATTTTTCTGATGCGGGTTTCTCTTGTGTCTTTTCTACTTTGGTCGTTGGTTTTGCTACATTAGTTTTATCTGGGGAAATAGATAAATGGATAAATGGATAAATGATATATATATATATATATATATATATATATATATATATATATATATATATATATATATATACTAGATGACCCGACAGACGTTGTTGTATAATTGTTTTGTAAATTTAAAATTACAATTACTCAATATTAAGTTTCAAGATTAAATATTAAAAAAAAACTAACAATTTGGAAATATGTTCAAAAGTGAGTTCAATAGTTATACTGTCTAGAAGTCAAATATACTAGAAAATTTGTATGATACTCATATTGTTATAAGGTTTTATACAAAAATGTCTCCATGTCATTGAGAGCTAGGTCATCAAAGTCTTTGCAAAACACAAAAACTAATGTTATTTAGTAAATTTGCGTTCAAAACCAAGTTTTAATTCACTATAATAATCTATATAATTACAAAATCTTATGGATTGATACAAAAAACTAGTTATAAACTAAGAAACTTGTATCACTCTTATCGTCATAATGTTTCGGGTCTGTGTCATTAGGAGCTAGGTCCAAATTGAAATAACTTATTTGAATAAATAAAAATACGTCCAGCGCCAAGTTTTACTGGTTACAAAGTTATTGAAGACTACGAAGTATGTTCATTTACTGTAAAAATCCAAAAATCTTACCGACTGAAACAAGAATTTATCTATTTCATTAAAAGCTAGGTCTGAATAGAGTTAAATTATTTAATTAATTAAAGATAGCTCCAAAATGTTGTCTCAGTGGTTATTAACACAATGAACATCATAATAGATATTCATTTGTTATAAAAAAAAGTATTTAATAAGCAACATAAATAGTATAAGTGTTATACTCTTATTGTCGTACAAAAATGTCTGTGTCATTGAAAGCTAGGTCTAAATTAAAATAACTTGTTTAATTAATTAAAAACATATCTACAATCAAATCTTGGTTCCAGAATATGTAAAAATGTATCTAAAAACGAGTCTTAGCACCAGAATGCTGTATAAAATAAGTATTACTCTCATATCGTCATATGGTTCCATATGAGTATTACTTAGCTTTGAAATATTTTTCTTCGTCTCTGATACTGCTCTTTTTTTCAGAAAAGCTTTTAAACTTTTAAATAATTTCTGCAAATTAATGGATATACAGGACCTCAACTTTTGAAGATGCTCTAAACGAAGATGTAATATCAAGTTTCATAAAATCAAGACTCAAAATTAAATTAGTTTAGCACTCCTTTATTTGTATTTTTATATTTGGTTGTTCTGTTATTTAATTGTAAATTTGTATATCTAATACATCTAATACATCTATGAAAATGTCCCCGTGTCATTGAAAGTCTAGGTTCAAATTGTAATTACTTGTTTAATTAATTAAAAATACATCTACTATCAAGTCTTATTATCAGAATATGTAAAAATGTATCTAAAAACGAGTCTTAGTACCAGAATATGTAAATATGTACCAAAATGTTGTTTAGTGTAAGTACAAAGTCATACCGTCAAAAATGTCTCTGTGTCATTGAGAGCTAGGTCTGAATTGAAATACTTGTTTATTTAATTAAAAATATATCTACAATCAAATCTTGGTTCCAGAATATATAAAAATATATCTAAAAACGAGTCTTGGTACCAGAATATGTAAATATGTACCAGAATGTTGTATAGTCTAAATATAAAGTCACATCGTCAAAAATGTCTCTGTGTCATTGAGAGCTAGGTCTAGTTAAAATAACTTATTTATATAAATAAATATACGTCCAGTTCCAAGTTATAGTAGCTACAAAGTTAATGAAAATTACAATGTTAGTCAAATTACTGTAAAGATCCATATATTAACAAATTCTTACCGACTGAAACAAGAACTTAGTTATATCACTCCCAAAATCAATTTTAAAACAAATAAGACATATTTGTGATGCTAACAAAAACCAGAGCACGATTATTATAAACATACTATATACTCTATTAATAAAAATCATAATAAATAAATAAATAAAATAATAAGTGATTTTGAGTAAATAAGTACAGAGGAGTTAATTAAATTCAAAATAGTTAGCTAATACTTCATATTCGACAAACCTTTCTGAAACCTCAACAAATCTGATAATATTACAGTAAATAATACTTATTGATTGCTTATGAAAAATCAAAAGTTGTATTTGCAATGAAATCAAATCCTACACTCAGTTTCGGGTAAAAATATTGCTATATCATTAAAAGCCTACCTCCAAAACTTAGACTTAGTAGTCAAAAAGACAATGAAGGATATCATAATAGACTTTCATTATGATTAAATAAAAGTAGAAGTATTAAATTCATACTGTCGTGAGGTTTCGTACAAAAATGTCTCCGTGTCATTAAGAGCTAGGTCTAAATTGAAATAACTTGTTTATTTGATTAAAAATATGTCTAAAATGTAGTCTTAGTGGTTACAAAGTAGTTGAAGACCACAAAGCAAGTTTATTTACTGTAAAAATCTGTATATTAACAAATTCTTAGAGAATTTAGTTATATTACTCACAAAACAAATTTTAAAACAAATAAACCATATTTGATATAATTGTGATGGTAACAAAAACCAGAGCACAAATATAAACAAACCATCCAATCTGTAAATAAAAATAATAAATTCCTTTATAAGTTAAGTAAAGAAGTACTGAGGAGAAAAAAGTAGTCAGCAAACACTTCTCATTCGAGAAACCTTTCTAAAACTACAACAAATCTGATTATAAAACAATAAATAATACTATTTGCAATAAAAACAAAACCTGTACTCATTTTATTCAGTTTCGTGTAAAAATATTGCTATATTAATAAAAGCTAAGTCTGAATAAAGTTAAATCATTTAATTAGATATGTCTATTAGATAAGATATGTCTAAAAATCTTGTCTTAGTAGTCAAAAAGACAATGAAGATTATAATAGGTATACAATTATTATAAAAAAAGAGTATTTAATAAGCAACATAAATAGTGTAAGTGAGATTTCGAACAAAAAGGTATGTGTCATTAAGAGCTAGGTCCAAATTGAAATAACTTGTTTATTAAAGTGAATTAAAAACATGTCTAAAATCTAGTCTTAGTGGTTACAAAGTAGATGAAAACTTCAACGTAAGTAGTAAAGTAAGTAATTTTCTGTAAAAATCCATATATTAACAAATTCTTACCAACTGGCTCAAGACTTATAGCACAGGTTATAGCACTCCCAAAACCAATTTTAAAAACAAAAAAGACATACTTAACTTGAAATAGAAATACTAAGGCTTAGTTGCCATTAAAGCAATGAAGATCATAAAGAACATTCATTATGATTAAACAGTATGAGCGTTAAACTCATATTATCGTGAGGTCATACAAAAATGTCTGTGTCATTAAGAGCTAGGTTCAAATTGAAATAACTTGTTTATTTAATTAAAAATATGTCCAAAATCTAGTCTTAGTGTTTACAAAGTAGATGAAGACTTCAAAGTAAGTAGTAAAGTAAGTAATTTTCTGTAAAAGTCCATATATTAACAAAATCTTACCGACTGGTACAAGACTTAGGTTAAGGCACTCCAACTCCATTTTAAACCAAAATAAGTCATATTTGATATCATTTTGAAGCTAACAAACCCCAGAATACGATTATTATTACCATACAATAAATTCTATTGCAGTAAATACAATATTTCATCTACCATCAAATTGTGCATTTCCTAACCTCAAATTCTCTGCAATGTCAAAACTTTATAAAATCATATAAATCCTTTATCTCACCTTCATTGGAAAAGTATCTAATGAATTCCTTGTTCCTAATTAAATTCCTTCGCTGGTTTTGCATTTGATTTGTGGCTAATTGTGTTAATTTGAAAACTCTGCATAACCTCTGCATCGGGAACAGATGTGATAGCGCCATTTTTTTGATATTTTCTTCGAATTTTCTAATAAAATCGTCGCTAGGAATTGCACATGCTTATTAATAATTGGATTAAATTGTTTTTTTGATTTAACACAGTGGTTTTTTGTAATTGATAAACACGATAGTAATTCACACACACATCATTTTGATATAATTGACGTGTGTGTGTGTATGTATGGATGGAATGGTTAGTGTTTGCCGGGTTGGCCGCTAGGGTGACGGTTGGGTTTTAAAATTTGAAATTGAAAAATAACTAGTGGTGTATGGCATCGTGCCTTAAGGCAAATTGCTGGAACTTTTCGTACCGTAATGAAATATTCGAGAAATTTTAAACGTTTTCAAATATATTATTACAAATACTGTGTAACTTTCATTATTTTTGCTATCTTGTTTGTTATATCTGAGCAAATCAAATGTAAATCATAAATTATAAATCAATTTATCTTCAGAACATTAACTATCGTCATTTCATTTCGAATTCAATTTAAAAAAAAAATAGTTGCCTAATTTACACAAAATTGAAAAAAGTGCTCTGTATAGTCACAGTCTAAACGCTTTTGCAAATAATTCTGTGCGACATTTTCACTTATACTGTGCTTAACTTGGCGGTATTTTTGCATTTTTCAATAGTTTATAAAGAGTCAAAACGCACTTGGGTAAACATATGTACCAGAGTGGCGCTTAGACTGTGCTTAGTCTGGGTAATTTTTTGAATTTTTAATCCAAAATTACAAAAATATTTTTTGAAAAAAAAAATTAGAAACAAAATTTTTTTTCCAAAAGCAATTATTTTGTTGAAACAAGCAGAAAGTTTTTTGAATCATTTAAATCGGATGCTTAGTTCACTCAAAAACTGCCATTTTTTAAACTATTAGCCCTGTATCTCCAAAACAACTGAACCTACCTTTGCCAAAAACTAACAACCACTTTTTCCCGAACTGAATATTTTTTGGATCATACAAATCGGATGATCCGTTTTCTCAAAAACTCTATTTGTATTTTCTGCACTCATTGCCCCATATCTCCGTAACGGCTGGACCTGCCTTTGCCAAATACTAATCAGCACATCTCCCCATTAATAGGAATCGAATGTTTTTTGAACAATTCAAATCGGTATATCCGTGTGCCCGAGAACGTGGACGAAAAATTGTATTCATACATACATACACACACATCAATTTTTTCTGAGGTATGCTAAAATGTTCAGAAACCTGTAAAACGTGAAGATATGCAAACATTTTCATTTTTGATGTTCGGTCCATTACTATAACTATCCTACGGGAAGTTAATAAAAACCTAGTGGTGTAAAACTGTGTAAAGCATCGTGCCTTGAGGAAAATTGCTGGAACTTTCCGCACCAAATTAAAATTTCTAAAATATGAAAACTTTCGATATTCAAAAAATTTTTTATAAAAATAAAATTTTTATCAGATGAATCCTTACTAGGATTTTTATGGATTCTTAGTTGATTAATTTTTATTTGCCTTTTCTTATTTTTACCAGATTCTTCTTACATTCTTTTTTAGATTCTAGCTTCATTCTTACTGATGGATTTAACTGTATTCTGGCTAAATTTGTACAAGGTTCTTGTTGGATTCTTTCTACATTCTTGATAGATTATCATTAGATTTTGGATTGAAGAAACTCAAGAATTCTCATTAGAAACTGGGTTGGTACTAGTTTTCTTTTAAAAAAATTATTTTATTCTCACTTGACTTGATATCTTATTCTTTATAGATTCTTACTGGATTTTATCAAATTTTGAGTGGATTCTGAGTGGGTTTTTAATAGTTTTTTATTCTTTTATTCCTACTTGACTTCATGTCTTATTCTTACTTGATTTATATTAAATTCTAACTACCCAGTAAACCACAAAACGTAATTAAAACGTTAATAGAACGTTACAGATGTTACGTGAAATATGGCAGTTACGTAACCTAGGAGGCACACAGACGTATCTATTTCCGCCTCAAAAACGTAACAGCCAAAACGTAACGGTTTCGTTTTTGTTACGTTTCTAATTTACTAAATTTACGTGTTGGTGCCTTTGATGTAGCTTAAAAATTTAATAGAATTTCCTGTAAATATAAAAACCATTTTTGGATTGGATTGGATCACAGACGTACCTATTTACGCCTCAAAAATGTAATGGCCTGTTTCGTTACTCGAAAACGTAACGGTTTCGTTTTTGTTACGTTTCTAAATTACTAAATTAACGTGTAGGTGCCTTTGATGTAACTTAAAAATTTAATGGAATTTCCAGTAAATATAAAAACCAGTTTTGGACTGGATTTTGACTAGATTCTTAATAAATTCTTGCTCAAATATTGCTTAAATCTTGCTAAAGTAAGATTCAGTGCTAAAGTTTATACAAAACAAAAATTATAGTTGTTATAATAACCCTCCTGCGTCTATAACTTATTTTTTATGGAATTGCTGACGTACATAATTTTCTTGATCAGCTGATTGACAACCTATATACATTAGAGTAGTCCTTAAAATGGACATTTTCAATTTTATTTGCTCCCAAAGGCTCAAATTGCGGACTATCTAAATGTTAATATTAAGAGCTAAAACTTTTAGAGGATATTTTTTTGTTAATTTGGATGTATTTGAACCCATGGGAGCAAAAAAATTCAAAATATCCATATTAAGGACCACCCTAATATACATATCTGTAACAATAAAGACTACAGTAAAATCTGTTTTGCCTAAAAATATTTTTGATTGTAATTACATTAAAAATATATTGCAACTAAGAATAATAAAATAGAAACTCACGTTTTTTAAACTGCACGACATTTTTAGATGTCTGATTTGACATTTATTATGATGTATTATAATTTTGATTCTCTACAAATCAAAATTCCTACGACATAACCTCAAACCTGTTCCACCTGCACAGAATCAAAGTTACCACGTGACTAGACAACCTCGACCAATCGCATCAACTCCTTTCAGCCAATGACGAATCAGTATTTGTGGCGTAACGCGTTTCCGTTGCAGAGTTTACTTGAAAAATATAAAATACAAATATTTGTATTAAATAAACATGGATATTTAAATCATTTGAATATATTTTCGATATGCAAACATATTAGACAATATATTTAAAACTATTCAACAATATTTACAATAATATTAATAAATCACTATTTATATAATTCTATACATCACTTTTTTAATATGTGACATTAACAATATACGAAATAATTATTTCACCTAATCTTGTTTATGTTTGTTATTGTAATACATACAAATACAAACCAAGATATATAAATATTAATTAATTGTATTTACATTATTAACTAGTAATTAATTGTTTATAACTATTTAATAGCTCCTAAGTATGAATTGTTGGTGCATTTTATGCAATAACAATTAGAAATATAAATAAAGGAAAAATTATTCGTCGTACAGTACAATTTTTCTAAAGGCATTTGTAATATATACATCTTATGTAATAATTTTCTTATAAATAAATATATAAACAAATTCATTTGTTAATATTTTAACGTAACGATTTTTTTAAAGTGCTTGAAATTTTGACTAATTTGAGAAGTCATTTGAAACTATTTTAGACACCAAAAATATTTTTATTAAATATACAAAATAATTTAATATTGTTATTAAAATTTTTGTACAATATTTAGAAAAACAACGTACATTTTCAAACATTTTTAGATTTTGCAAATAATGTAAATTTTAGTTAATTATAAAAATAATAAAATATTTCTTAATGAATATCTCGACATTTTAGGACTGTTTTGCAAATAATAGTTTTCTAAATTTTTAAATTACCAAATTTGGGACTAAATTATGAAATTTATATAAAAGTTGCTATTTGACACCAAATTTCATTTATATCAATCAATAATTGCGTTTTATAAAAATTTTATTCTTTAAAAAAATATTTAATTAAAATTTTCTTCTATTATTCAGAATAATAATTACAATTTTTTTTTGAAATTTTTTTTTGCTGACATAAAACAAGAAAAATAACAGTAATTAAATTTTATGAAATATTTTTTTGGAAATAATAAAGTATTTTACATGATTTTTAAATTTGAAATAAATATTTTCATATTTTTTTATTTTGTGTGACAAATCTTGTAAACTTTCAACTATTATTATTAATTGATAATAAAATTTAGAAGAGTGGCAAAATATTTTGAAACATCGAAATTTTGAACTGCTTTGTAAATAATATTTTTCTAAATTTCAATTAACTAAATTTGGGACTGATTTATAACATTTATATAAAAGTTGGCATTTGAGACCAAATTTAATTTGTGTTAATTAATAATTATATTTTATAAAAATGTTATTCTTTGACAAAATATTTAAATCAAGTTTTGTTCTATGATTCAGAATAATAATTACAATTTTTTTTGAAAAAATATTTTACTGACGTAAAACAACTTGAATTTTGTTATATATATTTTTTTGAAAATAATATATAATAAAATGAGTTATATTATTGTATTTTTCATGATTTTTAAACAAATCTTGTAAATTTGTAAATATTAATATTGAATGTTAATAAAATGTAGAAAAGTGACAACATATTGTTTTTACCATTTTAAAATATCTGTTTTAATTAAAAAAATATTAAAATAAAATTAATATACTTATATAAATTAATAATATATTTTTAAATAAAGATCTCGCCGTATATTTTAAAATGTAAAGTATAATTTTGGACATTTTTATATTTTGTGAATAAAAAATCTGGTAAATATTATTAATAAATAGTTAATGGTATTTTAAAATTTAGAAAAGTGACAATATATTTGTTTTACAATTTTAAAATATCTGTTTTAATTAAATAAATACTGAAATAAAATTTGTATAATTATATAAATTAATAAAATATTTTTAAATAAAGATCTTGCAGTATATTTTTATATGTAAAGTAAATTTTTTGCACATTTTTATATTTTGTGAATGAAAAATCTGGTAAATATTATTAATAAATAGTTATTGGTATTTTAGAAATTAGAAAAGTGACAAAATATTTATTTTAAAATTTTAAAATATGCGTTTTAATCATATAATTTAATAAAATATTATTAAATAAATATATTGAATGATATTTTCAGATACAAAGTAAATTTTTAGATTTTTTGAATATAAAAATTGGCAAAAAATAGTATTAAATAATTATT